AAGTAAATCCTTTAATTCTTTATATATATATATATATATATATATATATATATATATATATATATATATTAAGACATTTTTTTAGGTTTATACTTTCTTTTTATAGATACAAATATTTAAGTAAATGCTCTGTTTTATAATAAACAGTATTAAGAACATTTACCGGCCTGAATGTCCGAGAAATTTTCATTGTTGGACTTTGTCTATTTCATAATATGTGACGTCATTTGTTTACATTTGGATACGTATCGAGCAGATATAAATGTACGAGAGAAAATGATGGAGAATTGTAGTTTAACAGCAGTAAAATCAACCTTGCTAACCGAAACTCTCGTCTGTGGCTAAATGACAGTTCCTTATAGGATACAGGTTCGATTCCTATCGGATGACGCATATTTTCTATGAAAATTTCTCGGACTATTTGTCGGACTCTGTCCATTTCATAATATATATATATATATATATATATATATATATATATATATATATATATATATATATATATATAAAAATGAAAAAAAAATTGTCCAAATCGTGAAACAGTATGGGATAATTGTCTATATCACATAATGTTTAATATCTAAAAAACATACTAAACAAATTGAGTTCCTTTTTTCTAGGTTTTCAAATATGGCGTTTAGCCGTCATGAAACCATTTGTCTTAAGAATCACTGAAAAACAGGAAACTAGAGAGAGAACAGGTTAAAATCGTTTTGTGTCAGCCCCACTATGCCTTCTCAACTGAGCAATGGTGAGAGGAAAAGAACATTTAGGCCTTCAATAATGGTAAGAAAATTTATAGTCTGGCTTCCTTCAAAGTCCATTCAAGTAGCATTAAGAGAACGGTGAATAATTTCAAAAAGAGGGAACAGTAGGGAGGAAAACTGGATTAGGAGGTCATAATAACAAGAGGAGGTCTTCATTTCAACTGAAAGCTAAATACATTCTTATTGTTCAAAGTAGAGACCAAGAGTGTCATAAAAACTTTGGAGAATTCCAGTAAGATATCGTTAATCATTTCTAAGATACAACGGTTCAAAGCTTAAACAATTGGACAATTTTCTTGTTATACTAGGTATATATATATATATATATATATATATATATATATATATATATATATATGGAGTTACATGTCCGAGCTTTCTTAACCAAACTCCATTTAACCGTAGGTGTTTTGTTCTTTTCTTTTAGATTCCAAAAATACTTGGATAATGAAGTCATGTACCTATATTCACTGTGATTAAAGGATTGCATATGCCCCCGCCATCGTTCCTTGAATGTTTTCATGGTGCTACCAATGTAAAACTTCTTTATATTTGGATTTTCAATTGTACTAAGATAGACTACAGAAGTAATCCCACAGTTATTTTGTAGTGGACAGTTATTCGGATTCCTACAATTACATAAATTGTTATTTGTATTATTATATTTAGTATAATAATTGTCCACTACAAAATAAAATATATATATATATATATATATATATATATATATATATATATATATATATATATATACTCTCCTCTCCCGTCATTCGATGTATGAGGGCCAAGCAGATCAGTTCCTAGGAAACTGACAGCCCGACTCCAGCACATCAGATTTGATTATAGTGGTGAAGGTTTTGTGCAGAACCATCCCCAGGGCCGAATACAGAGACTTGGTGCACTACAGGGTCCCCAAATGACACTTCGCAGGTTTTGAATTCAGAGTTCTCCTTCTAGACCAGTTGCTACCCAAAGCTATAGAACCCAGTCTGTCCTGCTATTTACCCATAGCTTGAGGGAGGAGAAGAGGATTCACACCTTTCCCAAGGGTAATAGTACGTAAGTGAATGTAATGAACTCGACTCTCCAATTCCTCAATCCAAGTCGCTATCCTTTACTCCACCGTGTATATATATATATATATATATATATATATATATATATATATATATATTCCGAACTCTTTAATGTGACAGTCTTGCTAGCTCATTCCACATATATATTGCTGTGTTTTCAAAGCTAGATAAAATCCAAAGAAGAATCTGCAATGTTATTGGTCTTGACCGGGCATTCACTTTCCCATCGCCATTATATAGCTTCCATCGACATTTTCTATAAATACTTTCCTGGTAATTGTTGGGATGAACTATTTGCTATGGTATTTAGAATTTATGAATCGAGCAATAATTCAACCGAAATGCAAAAATCTTTATATACGAAAGACGACAAAGAAGTTTTCCGCTGACGGGAAAATGGAAAGATTATATTGAATCAATTGCTAGGACTGCTGCTACGATATTTGATTTCTCATCGATATGTCCATTACTGAATGTGTCTTTTTTTTTTTTTTTTTTTTTAAATCGGGATCACACCAAGCAGGGGAGTAAGACCACTAAACCACAAGGGGTTACAGGGTGTAGGAGAATTAGGAAAAGAAACATTAACGATCACCAGAAATAGAAGAGAGCAATCAGGTGAACATTGTATTTAATTTTATTCAGATTAAAATTATCTTGAAAGCATGGAGTCGCAAGAGAGTTCTACGAGGCAGAGGTGCGAGAGAAGAAACTGTTAGCATAGAACTTACGGCTACATCTAGCCAGCTCAACTGTAAATTGATGAGATCTCGACGCCAGTCTAGTGCTGCACTTAAATTCAAAAACTCTAGGTACTCATTTGAACAACTACCATGAAAGTATTTATAGAAAAGACTTAAAAAGGCAACCTTAAGGCGCTGGGAAAGTGTCTGAAGCCGAGATGCCAGGTCAGGATTTATAATATTGCTGATTCTTCTTTGAATCTTATCAAGGAGCTCAAGGTAAATAGCAGGGGAAATAGACCATATGTGGCAGCAATATTCTAAATATGGACGAATGGTAGACTTATAGATATGTATGATAGATTCTTGAGAGAAGAATTGTCTTGCCCGTCATAGTGTACCGACTTTCTTAGCAGTCTTTCAACCTCATATCAGCAGACAACGTGAGTCCGTGAAGGCGCAAAGTGTTTTTTTCATGGAGGATAGCATCGGTCATGCTAATGGAAGGCAACGAGGCGTCTCTCAGATGATTAATTAGGAGAAGTTTATATTATTTTGATTATTTGGACTATTGTCCTCATCTTTGTCGCCATATTTATTACAACGTTTCGGCCGTTGTACGCTCCGGCATTCTTAATATATATTACATTCGAAAATTCTCGGCGCCATAACGAATAGCTCATTTGAACAATTAACATGAAAGTATTTATAGAAAAGTTATCTGGAAAGCATGGAGCCAAACGGGAGTTCCACAAGCGAGATGTGCGAGTGAAGAAACTGTTACCATAGAACTTACGGTTACATCTAGCCAGTTCATCTGTAAACGGATGAGTCTAGTGTTGTGCTTAAATTCAAAATGAAAATGAAAGTATTTACAGAAAAGACACAGGAAAGATACGTTATGAAGATGAGAAAGTGTCTGAAGTCGAGATGCCAGGTCAGGATCTATAATATTGCTGATTCTTTGAATCTTATCAAGGCGCTCAAGATAAATAGCAGGGGCAATTAAAAGTTGTCAGGAAAGCATGGAGTTTCACAAGTGAGAAGTGCGAGAGAAGAAACTGTCACCATAGAACCGGCCTTCTTACTATATAGACAGATACTGAGAGAAGTTTAGTTTTGGTGGCGTTAAAATTAACAAGCTGGCTTTTGCCCCAGTTAACAACGGACTTAATGTCGTTTTGGACATCGGCTGACATTTTGACCTTGTCAGATTGATAAGCCTCACTCTCGAGGCACGTGTAAATTGTTGTGTCGTCAGCGTAGATACCAAGTTGAGAGCTGATGTCATCAGCAAGGTCAGTAATGTTTATAAAGCTTTAGAAAAGAACGGCGAAGCGATGTTATTTATGGTAGCACGACTAGATAATAAATAAATAAAAGTGTAAATAGTTTTGAAAACAAATATCCCTCGAAGTTATGGAAGTATAATAATTTTTGTAGTGATTATTGTGTTCGTTTGCCGAATTTTCTTTCAGTGCTGTTTTTTTTTATTTATCTGTATTTTATTTTATCAAGGGAGGAAACTCATTGGAACAATTGCCCTGAAAATTTTTAGAGATGAGACAAAGGGGAGCCACGTCACGTGAGAAAATGACTAAAATCAAGATGGCAGGTCAGTACCGAAAACATTGCAGACAAAGAAGAATTAGCAATATTATTGATCCTGACCTGGCATCTCGGCTTCAGACACTTTCTCATCGCCATAACGTATCCTCCCTGTGCCCTTTCTGTAAATACTTTCATGGTAATTGTTCGGATAAGCTCTTCGCTATGGTACGTAGATGTTTTGAATTTCAGCAGAACACTAGACTGGCGTCGAGATCTCATCAGTTTACAGTTGAACTGGCTAGATATAACCGGAGGTTCTATGCTAAAGGTTTCTTCTCTCGCACTTCTCGCTTGTGGAACTCCCGTCTGACGCCATGCTTTCCAGATAACTTTAATTAGCCAAAATTATGATACAATGTTAACCGCTATCTACTGTCCGCCTGGTTACACTTTTCTCTTTCCATGTGCTCTTTGATAAAATCCAAAGAAGAATCAGCAATATTATTGGTCCTGATCTAGCGGCTCGGCTTCAGTCAGTCTCCCACCGCCGTAAGGTTGCCTCTCTGTGTCTTTTCTTTAAATACTTTCATGGTAATTGTTCGGCTATTCGTTAGGGTACGTAGACTTTTTGAATTTAAGCTCAGTACTAGACTGGTGTCAAGGTCTCCTCAATTTACAGCTGAGCTGGCTAGATATAACCGTAAGTTCTATGTTAAGAGATTCTTTTCTCACACTTCTCGCTTGTAGAACTCGCTTTCGTCTCCATGCTATGCAGCAACTGTAGCCTTCAAAAATTTAAATGCAATATCAATCGCTATCTACTGTCCTCCACCTGATTACTCTTTCCTCTTCCCGCTCATTATTAATTTTTTTGTTCCTAATTCTTCCGCACTCTGTAACCCCTTGTGTCTGAGTGGCTTTACCGCCTTGCATGGGGTGATAGCAATTAAATAAAATAAAGAAAAAGAAAGAAGGGTAAATAATGAAAAAGTAGGGAAGAATATGGAAATATAAGAAATTGGCAGATGAGAAAGAAAAAAGAAAGAAAGAAAAGAAAGAAATAATGAAAAAAAAGAAAGAAAAGAAATAATGAAAAAAGAAAAGAAAGAAAGAAAAGAAATAATGAATGAAAGAAAAGAAATAAAGAAAAGAAATAATGAAAGAAAGAAAGAAAGAAAGAAAAGAAATAATGAAAGAAAGAAAGAAAGAAAAGAAATAATGAATGAAAGAAAAGAAAGAAAGAAAAGAAATAATGAAAGAAAGAAAGAAAGAAAGAAAGAAAAGAAATAATGAAAGAAAGAAAGAAAGAAAGAAAGAAAAGAAATAATGAAAGAAAGAAAAGAAAGAAAGAAAAGAAAGAAAGAAAAGAAAGAAAGAAAAGAAATAAAGAAAAGAAAGAATCAAAGAAAGAAAAGAAAGAATGAAAAAAAGAAAGAAAAGAAAGAAAAGAAATAGTGAAAGAAAGAAAGAAAGAAAAAAAATAATGAAAGAAAGAAAAGAAAGAAAGAAAAGAAAGAAAGAAAAGAAATAATGAAAGAAAGAAAAGAAAGAAAGAAAAGAAAGAAAGAAAAGAAATAAAGAAAAGAAAGAATCAAAGAAAGAAAAGAAAGAATGAAAAAAAGAAAGAAAAGAAAGAAAAGAAATAATGAAAGAAAGAAAGAAAGAAAAGAAATAATGAAAGAAAGAAAAGAAAGAAAGAAAAGAAAGAAAGAAAAGAAAGAAAGAAAAGAAATAATGAAAGAAAGAAAAGAAAGAAAGAAAAGAAAGAATCAAAGAAAGAAAAGAAAGAATGAAAAAAAGAAAGAAAGAAAAGAAATAATGAAAGAAAGAAAAGAAATAAAGAAAAGAAAGAAAGAAAAGAAATAATGAAAGAAAGAAAAGAAAGAAAGAAAAGAAAGAAAGAAAAGAAATAATGAAAGAAAGAATCAAAGAAAGAAAAGAAAGAATGAAAAAAAGAAAGAAAGAAAGAAAAGAAAGAAAGAAAAGAAATAATGAAAGAAAGAAAAGAAAGAAAGAAAAGAAATAATGAAAGAAAGAAAAGAAAGAAAGATAAGAAAGAATGAAAAAAAGAAAGAAAAGAAAGAAAGTTAATATCAATGAACGAATAAGAATAAAAAAGGAAAATGTCGAATGAAAAGAAAGAAAATGACAAATTAGAAAGAAAGAAAAGCAGAAAGAAAGAATAAAAAAAAGATCTGGTCTGGTGCTTCTTCTCTCTCTCTATATATATATATTTAAGATTCTTGATAAAATCCAAAGAAGAACCAGCAATATTATTTTCCTGGTCTGGCATCTCGGCTTCAGTTTCTTTCCCATTGTTGTAACGCAGCTTCTCTGTGCCTTTTCTATAAATACTTTTATGGTAATTGTTCGCATGAGATCTTCGCTATCGTACATAGATTTTATTAATTTAAGCGCAGTACTAGATTGACAACAAGGACGCATCAATTTATAGTTGAGCTGGCAAGATGTAACCGTAAATTCTATGCTAATAGTTTCATTTCTCGCACCTTTCGCCTGTGGAACAGTCTTCCGGATCCATACTTTTCAGTTAATTTTTGATCTTAACAAGTTTAAATGCAATGCCAATCGTTATCTACCTCCTTCGTGATTACTCTTCTATTGTTCCCATTCCTTAATAATATTTCTCTTTTTTTCTTATTCCTTTCACACTTGTGTCTGAGTGGCTATATTACCTTGCATGGTGGGAAGGAGATGATTAAAAATAATATTATCTTTTTCCTAGACCTGTTGTTACCCAAGGTTATCGGAGCCAGTCTGTGAAAACTCAGAAATGATTGGAAGTGTATAAATCTGTGCATACCTTACCCAATGGTATTAGCATATCAAATAAATGTAAGGAAATCAACTGAATATGGCCTTGTGCTGCTGCTGTATATTTAGAGTTTCTTGATAAAAACCAAAGAAGAATCAGCAATATTATTGGTCCTAACCTGGCATTTCAGCTTCAGTTAATTTTCCATCGTTGTAATGTCGCTTCCCTGTGTATTTTCTATAAATACTTTTATGGTAATTGTTCAGATGAACTCTTCGTTACAGTAATAAGAATTTAAGAGCAATACAAAATTGGTAAAAAGATCTCATCAATTTATAGTTGAGCTGGCTGGATGTAACCGTAAATTCTATGCTAATAGTTTCATTTCTCATTTGTGGAACTCTCTTCCGGCTTTGATGGTTTCCAGCCAAATTTGATCTTCAAAAATGAAAATGGAATGTCAATCGTTACCTTCTGTCCTCTTGATTAGTTTTATATCGTTCTCGCTCCATAATAATGTTTGTGATTTTTAATTCTTTCGCACTGGTATTCCCTTGTGTCTTAGTGACTTTCTTGCCTTGCATTGGGTGAATTCGATTAAAAAAAAACACTTCTTCGGATTTTATCGATATATGACTGATTTTTAAGGTTTGACCCTTTACGAAAATAAACCTTACAGCGTATTGCTTTATTTCTTTTTTGTTGTCTTTGATGATTTTGCTGATCTGTTCCTTTAAGAGTGATTTTCTAAGCTTAGCTTAAATGTGGCACCAAGTCGAATATATGGATAACCGAATGAAGATCGAACTCACTAGTCTTAATTAATGTAGTGAGAGCAAACTTGTTAACCATTAAACCAGGTTTCTTTAATAAGTTGCTAGTATTTTTTTATTTAATTGTATGTATTTTATAAAATGTTACCCAAATATTCCTAAATTTAAGCATATTGATCAATCTAGTCATCGGTAAGATATTTTTTCGGATAGATTGCTTGAGATCACCCAGCAAATAAAAGGAGTTAATTTATTTTTTCTTTTGTTATTCTATTTCGTGATTCCAATTTCGGTTGACTTTTACGACATTTTCACACCGATATGCATATACAGGGTGTCCCAGAAGTTATGTACCATCCACCTTTTCATAAAAAAGGAAATAGTCAAGAGGGGATAGATCTGATAAATTTGTGAGTCATGAGAATATGATGCACTGATGATTTGCTAATCGTTACCTCCCGGCTTATTCACCTTACTGATATCACAGGACTTTTAGCAATATTCGCCATGATCATGGCGGATCTTTCTTCATCAGTTGCATTCTGTGGTCGTCCACATATATGACGGTCAGCAACTGAGCCAGTTTCATCGAAGCGTTTGATCAAACGTCTGACAGTTATGTGGATCAATGGTTGCTCTCGTTCAGGGTGATTGAGGTTGAATTCTTGAGCAACAGAGCGATGTGTCGTTCCATCTCTTTCAAACATAAAAGAAAAAAATTCAAGTCTTTCTTCTAGTGTTAGTTTCTCACCCATAATTAAATCAAATCTGGAACAACAAAAAAATGAAGATGAGTATTAATTAAAATCATTTTTTATGTTTTTATTTTTTTTATTTTTATTTTTTTTATAAATCTCCCGGTAACGGACAGGCTTCACACCTTTGTCTACACTTCCACTGCGACGAGGTTAGTGCGCGAATTCTGGGACAACCTCTCTCTCTCTCTCTCTGTGTGTGTGTGATTCGGGGATAAACTACTGTTAACTTTACCAACCATTTTGAATTTCATTAAATAAGACAGCAGGTAGAAAGCTGTATGTAAATTAAGAATGCACCTGCTTTGCATAATAAGTTAAAGACAAATAAAATATGCACATATGTAGGCACACACACATTATATATATATATATATATATATATATATATATATATATATATATATATATAACATGTGTATGTGCATGTGTGTGTGCGCGTAAAGTGTAAAGTGAGAAAATTGGGGAGAGAAAGAAAGATTCTGTGGGGGGGGGCTATAGTCATCCTCTTTTTTTTTAATCCTTTTCATTTCCTGTTTCATAAGATGCTTTTTAGACCTTAACGAATGTCATGTTTTTTCTATATTTGATTTCAGCTAATGTGAGTGAGCCAGTGTGTACGCGGGTGTGTGTATATCTGTGTGTGTGTGAAAATGAAAGTGTAATAAATAGACAGATACATAGATAGATAGATAGATAGATAGATAGATAGATGATTGGAGCTACGCATTTGTTGCGACCCGCTGTGGGACTGTCGTGCACCAGTCTTCAAAAGCCCAGCAGGGGGACACCTAAGAACAAACCGCAACCCATTTATTGCATATCTCTTATTTCCTTTAACGTACCTCCCTCTCTCTGCCACCTCTCTCTCTCTCTCTCTCTATATATATATATATATATATATATATATATATATATATATATATATGAGGAAATGATTGATATGATATATCCTAACTGGGTATGCAAAATGTAACGCGTGAAAATCAGTTGGATGCTTAAATTTATTATTCAGTTGCTAAAGTTTCATTGAATAATTTTAATTTATTTAGTTTTTCCGGTGTTGGGAAAAGAAAAAAAAAGTCTACATCGAAACGGTTTTCAAATATGCTTTTAATTTCTTTCTTTCTTTCTTTTCTTTTTCTTTCTCTTCTTCTATCTATTTCTATCTATCTATCTATCTCATTTGCTATATCTATCTATCTATCTATCATCTATCTATCTATCTCAGTTTGCTCATATCTATCTATCTATCTATCTATCTATCTATCTATTCATCTATCTATCTATCTATCCCAGTTTGTTCATATCTATTCATCTATCTATCTATCTATCTATCATCTATCTATCTATCTATCTCAGTTTGTCTATCTATCTATCTATTCATCTTGCTCATATCTATGTATGCTCTATCTATCTATCTATCTATCTATCTATCTATCTATCTCAGTCTGATCATATCTATCTATCTATCTATCTATCTATCTATCTATCTATCTATCTATCTATCTATCTATCTATCTCAATCTGCTCTAATCCCCAATGTTGATTGCATATATAATTACACATTAAATATTGGCAGGTGGCAAATTATCTAAGCAAAACGAATTCGTGATTCTAGTGTCGGCTGCACTAGATCATTACAGACATAAACAGTCCATCGGCATTCCTTGCAACTTTCCATTGCATATATGAATATATCTTTCGATATCAACTTAAATTTAATAATTTTCCCACTAACAAAAGAAAAATATTCCTGGCGATAACAGAATTTTGAATGATATTTTTTTCCCCGAAGTTATTCGTCCGAAGATGAACGTAGCGAAATCTACGTAAGGAGTTATCATAATTTACGCTATTTAGACGTGGAATTTTGTCCTCTTTTTTATTGTTGTTAAGGCCGTTGCGCCCTTCATCAAATGTTTATTGCGCCGGGTAACCTACAGGACATTTATTTTATCCCATGCGGGAAATAAAAGAAAAAAAATCTATCCTCTGATCAGACTCGAGGAACATGTCTAAAGAGGAAGAAGAAGGGGACGCGGTATAAGAGACCATATCTGACGTAGAGCAAATAATAGATTGGAAAAGAATAAATATACGACGTTTGATAAAAAAAAATGTATCGGGACTTGTGTCTATATTTCTGTTGTGGTAGGATCCACCTAATTTGCATAGTGGAGTACCGACCATATAAATATGGTTGGTACCGGGAAGAGAGGGAGGAATCAAGAGATTCAACCAGAGACTCTGCCCGACTGCGACTCAGTAAACACATTCTCCAGGAAAGGTCTTACCAGAAATATACAAAAGACTATATGTAAATATCATGTACACTTTCTTGTTTCAATACATTTTGTTTTAAGTACATTTTGTGTTGCATTATTATTCCATGCATTAGTCAAGTTTCAACAATTTCGGAGATGAGGTATTATGTACACTATTTACATTAATCTGATTATTGTCCTCATCTTTGTTGCCATATTTATTACAACGTTTCGGCTGTTGTACGCTCCGGACTTCTTCAGGTGGTTGAATGTCGAACTGAACCCTTTATTTCGCTCACTGGGGTAGACTGTTCTAGTTCCACGTGCCAATGGATGTCAGTCATTAGTTATTTCCCTTCTCTAAATTCTCCACTGCCTTAACCGGGTATTGAACTCACACTCTTTAGGTCATGTCACTAGATCTAACCAACGACTTTATCCACTGTGCCATGTGTCCTTGAATGTGTATGAAAGATGTATGAATTTCTGGCTATTATAAACTTAATGTCTCAGCAATAATTTTTTTACCAGTGCTCATATTGCAATTTTTTGATGTTATCGTTACATGTTTTTACCAGAGCTCATATTGTAATTTTTTGTTGTTGTTATTATCGCTATTCTCTGGCACTCCTTATTACTGGTTCCCATATTGTATTCATTTCTATGCTTGGTCGGCTCGGGAGATTTTTGTAGCCTCGCATATCTGCTGATTTTTTAAGTTTACGAATTTTCCTATGGTGTTCTTTGTCTCAGCATGATCCCACAGAGGGCGGTGTCCTTTTCTCTCCCCATGTGGTGAGCCAGGCCTGATTTTTCCACTTCCCCTCGTGTTACAGCTTTCTGGTGTTCTTGAAGCCTTACCTTAAGGGAGTGGCCTGTCTCCCCTTTATGTTTCTTTTCGCAACTGCACAGGATAGCGTACACACAGTCTTTAGTCATGCTTATGAGCTCTGGTAAAAACATGCAATGATAACAGCCAAAAATTGCAATATGAGCACTGGAAAAAATGGTTGCTGACGACATTAGGTTTATAATACCCAGAAATACCCAGAAATTCATACCCAGATGTCCTCAAGGACACATGGCACAGTGGATAAAGTGGTTTGACGGAATCCAAAGAGTGTGAGTTCAATACCTGGTTAAGGCGGTGGAGAACTTTCAAAGGGGAATTAACAGGAGATAACTGATAACTGACATCCATTAAATATGGCACGTGAAACTAGAACAGTTTACAGTGAGCGAAATAAAGAGTTCAGTTCGACATTCCAATAAAGAAGACCGGGGCGTACAACGGCCGAAACGTTGTAATAAATATGGCGACAAAGATGAGGACGAGAGTCCGATTAATTTAAATAGTGTATCGGGACTTGTTCTATAAAAATAGGTACCTCCAGTTGCTCGCGGAAAAAAACAAAATAGCATAGCATGATGAAAAAGTCCCCAAACTTCATAAAAATAACGTCAAAATTTATAATTAAAAAGAAAGAACAAATCAATTTTTTTATCATTTTATTAAATTTTAAATCCTTTCTAGAACGTTCGAATTTTTGTTTAAAAATCTTGTTTTGTTTTTACGTCAGCGGTCGACATAATATTTACGATTAATGTTTTTGCCCTTTTTGCTGGTGAAAAACAAATTGATTTGGAAATTCTTGCAAAAATCAAATAATTGTTGCATTTTAATGAAACGTTCAGGACATATTCACAAAATAATGAAATTAATTTTGAAATCTTTTTTTCAGAGAATCTTGGCAAAAAATCTTTTGTTTTACATGTTACCCTCACTTAATTTCATGAAATTTCGAGAAATTATATTGCTAACTCAAAATTTGTTGTATTAGTTCTTGTATTAGTTACTAGCAGATCTCCTTGGAAAATGTAAATCATCAAGTTTTTTTTTTATCAAACTACTAGTCATTTCTCGAAAATCTGTTCCGAATCTAAAAATAAAATTTTCGATGGATAATGAAATTTTACAAGAATTGTTTTAATTTATTTAAATTTTAATAATAATAATAATAATAACTTAAATCGCTTATAATTCTGCATTACTTCAATCATGTTAGGTTACATTTTTATTATGTGAAAATTATATTTACGAATCAAAAATTGAACTCACATCACTCCAACCAAATGTTAGCTCTATCTCTGATTTTGAGCGCTTTGTAATAAGTACCGCATATATATATATAATTAATAATATATATATATATATATATATATATATATATATATATATATATATATATATATATATATATATATATATATATATATATATATATATTTATTTATTTATTATATATTTATTTATTTATTTATTTTATATACACACACACACACACACATATATATATATATATATATATATATATATATATGTAATATTATTAGAATAAATCCTAAAGAGGCAGGCAAACCCACCTAGGTTTCACCGAAACAGATCTTCTAAAAAGGAAATGACGGAACATTATTTATTGATAAAACCATTTAAAACATTAAAAAGAAATAAGCATTAAAAGAAGAAAAACCAAAGTCCCTATTCTAATAACCAGGCTTTTCTATGCCTACACTTATTAAGAATTTCCGATCTTTGATTTAATAAATTTTTAAGTTCCTTATGGGTAGCGATATCTAATTTTTCCTCCTTACATAACGAACAAAACTTGTCACGTGCCTTATATTTATGGCATGTTATTTCCAATTTCAAAAAGAGGACACTGTTGTTTTATATTCCATATGTATGTGGACAGGCTGATACTATGTTTATAGGTTTCGTGATTAAACTACTTACGGTGTTGTAACGTTTTTTAAAGCTACCCTGGGTGGATCGTATGTAAACATTTGAGGTTCTTATCAATATTATTAGGTTTATTTCTATGCATTTCGACTTTGTAAATCACACACTCCTGTTGGCACCTGCCCTCAAGTGGACAGACGTTCTTTATTTCTACACTTACACTTAGGGGGGCTGGGGTGTGGTTTGTCAATGATTTTTTCCTATTATACTTACTAATTAAGTTAGTCATGTTTGGCACGCAACTATAACTTAGTTTAACATAGTTTTTATTGAAAATTTTATACAATACATTTGCCGTTAGGAAATTCTTTTTAAGTAATTTGAAAAACATTTTTCCTATTTTAGTTTTAACTGCTAAATTGTATGGCGGGTGGGGTGGGGGGTGTTAAACAATAATATTTTCCAAACGATTACTACTAATATATAAAATATTATGTAATTTGACTCCTGTTTGAAAGTATGGTTGATCAAACACGACATAATCAGAAAATAAGAGCGATGACTATAGTAAATTTAAAGTCAACATTCCTAAAATTAGATTATGGAGAATATTTTCCAACATTTTAAAGATTGCTGAGTACTTAAAAATCATATAAAAAAGCGCTCATCCGTCATTTTCTTAAATTGATAGTAAAGGTGCTGACAGATTTTATCATCACTTGTCAAGTGATCTACAAGTGACAAGCGACAGTGACAAGCGCGTAATCACCGCTACCGTTTGTTTTAAAAATACATTTCTCTGTTATTTTAAACTTAAAGTAAATAATATTTTTTTCAAATCATATTAATTATACTTTAAATCAGCCAATATTCTTCAAATAAAGTTTTAGAAAAATATATTTTATTTTTGGAAGATTTTTAAAACCGAGAATTGAATTTTGTTTACAAATATGTAAAAAATGTGTCAAAAATGGCTGATTTTGTGAAAGCGAGCATAAAGTTGAGATTCCAATCAATATAATTTTTATTTGAAATACTCCAGAAAATTTTGCTTACTGGAAATAGGGAATTTAATCATTTAGCTTTCAATAAAAGCTAAAATGAAATCTTCAAAAATGCTCTTTAATTTTTAAAAATTCATTTCAAACCTTAGGTATCGAAAATATAGGGGAGGTACCTATATAAAAAGAAAACTGTAACATATATCAATTCGCAATTTAATCTCCTTCGAAATAAACTCCTTCTGAAGCCCTGAAGCCGCAGACCATTGATGAAAGCATTCCTGGACTCCTTTTATGGAGTGCGAACGGCTGCCTCATCACATTCTCCTAGGTTTCCTCGACGTCTTGAACTATTGTTCCTTTCAATCTGGATTTAATTTTTGTAAGGAAGTAAAATCGCAAGCGACGCGATCTGGGGAATATGGTGTTTGTCGGAATTGGGAAATTTTGTGTTTAGTCAAAAACTACTTAACCAGACATGATCACTGATGAAACCTCTGTGGTGTGGTGGAGTGAAATGACCACACTCTACACACTTTCCTTCCAAGCACTTCTATAACTATAGGAAGTGAGTGAGAAGGTTATACTTTGGATGCGAGAAGGAGAGTTCATGGTCATTCTCACAAGCGCCCTCACCCTGCGTACTCTAGCTCTTTTACCATGACAAAAATGCCAATACATTTTGATCTGACCTCGTATATGGTGGAATAATTTTTGACGCAGTTTTTTGTATTTATTTTAGAAATCCTTTGATAGTTTAGGCTTTCTATTTACCAAAATATTTTATATGAAATAACAGGCCATTCTCTTTTTTTAAGGATTATAGACCTAAGTAACACAGTAGAACTGACCGACAAAAATGTTATGGGAGCATAAAAGAATAAAAACAAATAAATAAATGAACTGAGAAGATAATTTAAAAATGGTAAATATCCCTCGAAGCCATGAACTTATAATTAATTTTCTTCAAATTACTATCATTATTATTTTTTTTTATCATATAACCCCATGCAAGCGGTTACTGAGTGTGAAAGAATAAAAAATAAAAGAGGAGAGAAACATTATTAAGGAACGATAGAAGTGTATTGAGGAAGACAGTAGATAACGATTGACATTGCATTTAATGTTTTGAAGATCAAAGTTGGTTGGAAAGTATGGATCCGGAAGATTTACACAAGCGAGAAGTGCGTGAAAAGAAACTGTTAACATAGAACTTACGGTTAAATCTAACCAATTCAACTGTAAATTGATGAAACCTTGAGGCCAATCTAGTACTGTGCTGAAATTCATAAAGTCTAGATAAGCTAACGAAGAGTACACCCGAATAGTTACCATGAACGTGTGTATAAAAAAAATGCAGAGGGAAGATACGTTACTGGAGCCGAGAAGCCAGGTCAAGACTATTAATATTGCTGATTCTTTTTTGGATTTTATCAAGAATCTTTAAATATACAACAGAAGGGATCATGTGGGATCAATATTCAATTTTGAAGTGATTTTTATGTTCGTTTTCCTAATTTTTTTTGTCCTACCTGTTTTTCTTTATGTGCTTTCTTTCAACATAGGGTCATCTGCGTATCTTATTTTAAAAGTGTAAATGAATCCGCTGAGAAGACGAATCCTTGTCTTACGCCAAGAATTTTATTTGAACCGCCTGCAGCTCACCATTAAGCATAGCACATGTTCAGTTGTTAGCCAATGGAAAATTTGATACTGACAGGTCAAATTTCAGGGAAAGAGACAAGGGAAAGCAACGTATGACATACCTGACGGCCTTGAGCAAGTGGATGACAGAACGTGGTCCCGGGGAGGTGGAAGGAGAACGAAAATGGAGAGCCATGATCGCCCACGTCCTGAAACATAAAAGAAAGAAAACATGTTCAGTTCCAGAGAAGGGGGAATAATTTTAAGTTCTGGACGTTCGAAGCTTTTGATGTGTGTGGCAAATATCGATTTAGGTAAATTTAGTCTTCCAGGGTTCACTGAGCGTTATTTAGCTAACTAAATAACAAGCTTTGCACGGAAGGTTAGGCTTCATAATCTCTATCTATAAAAGGCAGGATGTGTGTGTGTGTGTTGCATTTCCCAACTCCCATCGATAGTGGAAATAATCGATTTTTTCATGCTCCTACGACAGTTTTTATGTAGTTTTCGGCCATTTTCTACTGGCCAGAATGAGAGCCTATAGCTGGCTGCCACGAATAGGCAGTAAGATTCTATTGGCCAGCGTGAGAGCCAACAGCTGACTGACACGAATGTTAACTAACATGCAAAAAAATCAATAGCTGCATTCGTCACAGAAGGTTTATGGTTCTTCAGAGAGAATTGCCCCACGGATCGACATACACTTGATGATGACCGTAGCGCACAAGAGCAGAAAGGATGTGATGGCAATAACAAATATGAGGAAAATAGTCACCCGTATAAATGAAGTAAATGAAGTCATACAGGCCACCCGAAGACATAAATCATATCATTCCCTCGAGTACATCAAGAAGGAAACGTGTGTTATAATCTATTTCATCGGTAAGAAACGGCCATTATTACCATTAACGATACCCTTTCTTTCTTTGGTTTTATTTCATTTATGCTTTTGATGCTTCCTTTCATTCATTCTTTCTATTTTCTTTTTTCCTAACTGTATTTCATTGTTTCGTTGAAATATTGTTTCTTTTTTTAATTTTTTCTTCCTTTCTTGTTTGTATTATTGCTACCAGTTCTCTTTATTTTATTTCCTTTCCTTTTTTTCTATTACCGTTAACATTTCTCTTTCATTTTCTTTCATTTCTTGTATTACCGTTACCATTTCTCTTTCTTTCATGTTTTTTATATTACTGTCACCATTTCTCTTTCATTTTCTTTCATTTCTTGTATTACCGTTACCATTTCTCTTTCTTTCATGTTTTTTATATTACTGTCACCATTTTTCTTTCATTTCTTGTATTACCGTTACCATTTCTCTTTGTTTCATGTTTTTTATATTACTGTCACCATTTCTCTTTCATTTTCTTTCATTTCTTGTATTACCGTTAGCATTTCTCTTTGTTTCATGTTTTTTATATTACCGTCACCATTTCTCTTTCATTCATGTTTTTGTTTTACCGTCACCATTTCTCTTTCATTTTTTGTATTACCGTTACCATTTCTCTTTCTTTCATATGTTTTTATATTACCGTTACCATTTCTTTTTCGTTTTCTTTCATTTTTGTATTACCGTTACCATTTCTTTTTCTTTCATATGTTTTTATATTACCGTTAACATTTCTCTTTCATTTTTTGTATTACCGTTAGACTTTCTCTTTCTTTCATGTTTTGTATTACTTTTTTCATTTTTGTATTACCGTTACCATTTCTCTTTCTTACATATGTTTTTATATTACCGTTACCATTTCTCTTTCATTCATGTTTTGTTTTACCGTCACCATTTCTCTTTCATTTTCTTTCATTTTTGTATTACCGTTACCATTTTTCTTTCTTTCATGTTTTTATATTACTGTTACCATTTCTCTTTCTTTTTCTTTCATTTTTTTGTATTACCGTTGCTATTTCTCTTTCTTTCGTTTTTTTTCATTTTTTCATTACTCTTAGCATTTCTCTTTCATTTTTTTGTATTACCGTTACCATTTCTCTTTCGTTTTCTTTCATTTCTGTGTTACCGTTACCATTTCTCTTTCTTTCATTTTTTTGTATTACCGTTACCATTTCTCTTTCGTTTTCTTTCTTTTTTGTCTTACCGATGCCAATTCTCTTTCGCTTTCTTTTATTCCTTTTTTGTATTTTCTTTTATTTCAGTCTTTCTTTCATTTTATCTTTCGTTCTTTATTTCATTCTTTCTTTCATTTTATAATTTTTGTGTTTATTATTCTTTCTTTTGACACCATTTACATTGTTTGGACTGTTGTCTTCATCTTTATTACCCTATTCACGGCGTTTAGGCCGTTGTACTCTCCGACCTTCTTTAGGTGATATATATTGGACATTCGAATCGAACCCTTTATTTAGTCCACGGGAGTAGATTATTCTAATTCCACATGCCATGCCATTTTTTGGATATCTCACTATTAATTAATTCCTTTTAGTATCTCAACTCTTCAAGTTTTACTTCCCTCTGCTGTGGTCAGGTATTGAACTCACAACTCTTTGAGTCAATCAATTTTTGGATTTTCTCCACTAGGACATAATAACAACAATAACAGACATTATAAAATCAGCTCTCGAGACATTAGGTTTATTAGTCCCCCAAAATAGCTCACTGACACGTGGCCCAGTGGATCAAAACGTTCGTTGATTAACTGATACTGAGAAAGGTACGGCACGTGGAATTAGAACAATTTACCCACGTGTGCTAAGTAAAGGTTTCATTTCGAAATTCCAACGTATATCACCTGAAGAAGACCGGAACGTACAACGCCGAAACGTCTTTAATATGACTATAACGATGAAAATAACAATTTGAACGATGTAAATAGTGTAAATAGTTACAATGTTTATACATTCTTTTTTATAGATACAAATATTTAAGTAAATGCTCTGTTTATAATAAACAGTATTAACAACATTTACCGGCCTGAATGTCCGAGAAATTTCATAGAAAATATGCGTCCTCCGACAGGAATCGAACCTGTATCCTCTACGGAACCGTCATGTAGCCTGACGTGCTTTTACCGAATTCGCCACATAGAAGCGTTTCGGTTAACGAGGTCAATTTTACTGTTTTTAAACTACAATTTTCCATGATTTTCTTACGTACATTCATATCTGCTCGATGCGTATCCAAATGTAAACAAATGGCGTCACGCATTATGAAATGGACAAATGGGCGGTAAATGTTGTTAGTACAGTTTATTATAAACAGAGCATTTACTTAAATATTTGTATCTATAAAAAAGAATGTATAAAAATAAAAAAAATGTTTTAAAATAATTGTCGGACTTTGTCCATTTCATAACGTGTAATCTCTGAGATATAAACACAGATTCTTTTTTTTGTTCAATTATTTTTCTTCCTTTCTATTTCTTGCCTTCTGCCATTATTTCATTCTTTCATTTCTTTCATTTTTCTTTCTTTTTTGTATTTTCTTTTTTTCTAACATTATATCTTTATTTTCTTTCTTTCATTTATTCAACATTTTTCCTTCGTTTTCTTTCATTTTTTTACATTTATTCTTTTTATCATTGTTACCTTGTACCATGGAAATCATATTTTTTCGGTATTTCTTTCTTTAATTCAGCCATTTTTTTTCTTACGTTTTCTTTCATTTTCATTTTTTTTTTTTGGGAGAGGGGACTTTCTTTTTCTCTAACATCCTTTCTTTCATTTTTTTACATTTTTCTGTTTCTCGTTTACTTTAGTTTTTCTTTCTTCATTCTGCCTTTCAATTTCATTCTTTCTTTCTTTCTTCTAAACTGTATTTCTTTCAGGTCTTCATTACTTCTTCTTTTTTAGTCAACCATTCTTTCTAACACTAATTATTTAAAAGTATTTGTTTCAAACATCGCTCCTTTCATCCAATCAGTTTTCTTTCATTTTCTATCATTTTTTTTTCTTTCTTTCAAACTTTATTTGTAGAATTCATTCACGTTTAAAATTTTTATTCAACCTTTTTCTTTCTTTCTTTCTTTCTCGGTTCTTTCTTTCTTTCTTTCTTTCTTTCTTTCTTTCTTTCTTTCTTTAAGACATTATTTGTATAATTCCTTCAGGTCTACTTTTTACTCATTTTTATTCAACCTTTTTCTTTCTTTCTTTCTTTCTTTCTTTCTTTCTTTCTTTCTTTCTTTCTCAGAAACATTATTTGTATAATTCCTTCATGTCTAGTTTCTTTTTTTTATTCAAGCCTTCTCTTTCTTTCCTTTCCTTTCTTTTTTTCTTTCTTTCTTTTTTCTTTCTTTCTTTCTTATTTTTCTTTCTGTCTCGCTTTCGTTCTTTCTTTCTTTCTTTCTTTCTTTCTTTCTTTTCCTTTCCTATTTTTCTTTCTTTCTTTCTTTCTTTCTGTCTTTCATTCTTTCTTTCTTTCTTTCTTTCTTTCTTTCTTTCTTTCTTTAAAACATTACTTGATTTAACCCTCCATGCCTAATTTATATTTTATTCAATCTTTCTTTCTTTTACTGTATATTTTTATTCATTTTCATTCTTTTCTTTCCTTCATGCATCTATACCTAATCCTTTCCATCCTAATTCCTTTTATCTCTCCTTCAAACCGTCTCTCTCATATAATCTTTTGCATCAACTTCTCTCCATTCTTTCATCTTTAATGCAGTGCAATTTTTTTCCGTTTCTCCTTAAATTCTTGATATTTTTCCTGTGTTTTATTTCTTTCATTTTTCGTCTCTGCATTCCTTTCTTTTTATCATTTACCGAAAGGCACCTTCACTTCGACGAAAACGGTTTCAAGAAATCTTAGTTTCGTTTCCCCTTTTCTATCATTGCTCTTTCAATATTTTATTAGCATAAACAAACTCCAAGACCTCTTTTCGTATTGGCTCAAAAGCACTTATGACGTCCTCTACCATTTTCCCTTCAGTACCAACGTCTCCGAGCTAAAAATAATGTTTCTAAGTTTCTGTGCTATCATCATCTGACGTCATTTCCGTTTTGGACGGTAAGATCAAATAAGATATGTGATAAAATTTTGAAATTAGTTTTTTTTTTCTTTCTTTCATTTTCCCTAATTTTTTTTTATCTGTATATCTATATATCTATATAAATCTATACATATATCTATATATTTATTTATATATCGTTATCTCATATATATATATATATATATATATATATATATATATATATATATATATGAGATAACGATATATACATCAAGAACAGTTTTTGGAGGAAAGTTGTATGACAAAGTGGAAAAAGTTTTCGTGCAATGCATTTCGTTTCTTACTACTTTGTCGGATATATATATATATATATATATATATATATATATATATATATATATATATATGCATATCAAAATCTACAGAATAAGCATAAATTTCGGACAGTTTATCAACAATTTCACTTTCTTTCATTCGAAAATTGGGAAATACCGTAAAAAACATAATAGTCCAGTACACTTTTTTTTGATAAATTACTGAAATACATCCGATATATATATATATATATATATATATATATATATATATATATATATATATATATATATATATGTGTGTGTGTGTGTGTACATGTATATATATTATAATTATTTTTTAAAATATGATTCCTTCGCTACATTATAATTATGTTTTAAAAATATGATTCCTTCGCTACAATATTTTATTTTATATATATATATATATATATATATATATATATATATATATATATATATATATATATATATATATATATATATATATGAGCAGCAATCTTACTTTTATACATTGTATATTATGAATTTTTTGAATGTTCTTACAGTATTTCTTTTATGGTGACGAAGAGGGTATAGAAACGGCCCATGGTGATCATTGTGCCAAACACAGCAACAATATAAGCTGTGGTAAAATATGAAATAATAATAATGGAAAATTTGCAATATGAGCACTAGTAAAAAAAAAAAGTGAAAATGAGACATGATGTTTATAAGTCCGAAAAATTCGTACCTGGCTGTCCTCAAGAACACATTCCCCACTGGATAGAGACGTTGGTTAGATCGTGTGACTAGACCCAAAGTGTTGTGAGTTCAATTCTACAGCAGTGGAGGAGATAAATATTTGGAGATTTGAGTTGAAAGGAAATAACTGAGACATCTAGAAGATGCATGGAACGTTGAACTAAAATGATCTACCCCGGTGAACAAAATAATGCGTTCGGCTCGAAATTCCGCTCACCTGAAGAAGGACGTAGCCGAAACGTTGTCAATTTTGCAATAAGTATAAGTCTGAATAATGTAAATAACTATAAGACCGTTAATTTTTGTGAGAAATTATTTTAGCGTTCGTAGATCTCCCTGAAAATGCTGTCTTATACGTCAACATGTTTCGATGACGAATGATAAATTCCATCGTCATTTGCAGCTGGCGTAAAAATCCTAGAATGCGACCGAAGGATTTAATGATTTGCCTCATCTACTGATCTCTCGTAGAGTATTTTTGTAGGTTTCCAAAACATTCTGCAAAGCTTCTCTAAACTTATTCCAGCCACGCTGTTACAATCATTGCAAAACTATTAGTCGTAGCAAAAATTAGCACAAAATTATTTGGGGGTCTGAAAATGCTCAAAAAAGTTCATATAGTTATTTACTAAGCGAAAATTGAATTTTTCACGAAATCTGGAAAACCTGGTACGTACTGAACTCACTTCTTTTATGTACTGCGTTCCTTCAGAACTGAAGTGATCATGGCCCTCCACATCTTTCTGCTCCTTGTAGATGTTAATAAGTTTTCTCCTTTTTTTTATTTCTGCCAAACTCTACCACCCATTTACTCAAGGTCATCTCTTCCTAGGCAATCATGGCTCTCCACATTTTCCTGTCCCTAGTAGCTCTTAATACGTTTTGTCTCTCTATTATTTCACCCAAACCCTGATCTATCACCCATTTCCTCAAGCATGTTACGTGCTGCTATCCTTTGCCCCTTTTTCCCTCAATCTTCCCTGTGAGTATCAGATTCTCCAAGCCCACCTTCCTCATTATATATTACGTACCTCAGAAACATTAAATGCCATTTCCTGATGTTAAGTATCTGTTTCCTTTTTGTTTCCATTTTCTCCAAAGCCTCGTCGATGCTCATATATTGGGACCATGGTATCCTCAGCATTTTTCTGAAGAAACACATTTCTGTTGCTTCAAGTCTCTTCGTCACCTTTGAGGAGATTATAACTCACTACTCTGCCGTAACTGATCTAGCGAGACAAGCTTGTTAACCATTACACGGCGTTGAAGTGCCCAAATAATTTCCGAAGAGTAGCTTAGATGTGGCACAAGGTCGAATGTGTGGAACACCCAGTGAGGATCGAACTCACTACTCAGTCGTAATTGATCTAGCGAAACAAACTTGTTAACCAGTTCACCACGTTGGAGTATTCAAATAATTTTCTAAGCGTAGCTTAGATGTGGCACAAGGCCGAATGTGTAGAGCACCCAGTGAGGATCGAACTCACTACTCCGTCGTAATTGATCTAGCGAGACAAACTTGCTAACCAGTTCACCACGTCGTAGTATTCAAATAATTTTCTAAGCGTAGCTTAGATGTGGCACAAGGCCGAATGTGTAGAGTACCCAGTGAGGATCGAACTCACTACTCCGTCGTAATTGATCTAGCGAGACAAACTTGCTAACCATTACACCACGTCGAAGTAAATATTACTTTTATAACGATTTACTAAGCGTAGTTTAGATTTGACCTAAGGCCGAAAGTATGGAGCACCCAGTGAGGATCGAACTCACTACCTCGTCGTAATTGATGAAACAAAACACGTTTGCTCAAATTACACTATGTCGAAGTAAAAATGTTTCTATGCATCTTAATGGTAAAAGTTTCGCGTTAAACATTTTCGATATACGAACGTTTTATAGGAAAGTCACTGTGAAAATGGCGATCCCTTAAATTTAAACATAATGATATATTTGTATATAAAAAAAAAGAAAGAAAATATTTACACTAATATCTTTTATATACGATAAATCATATATTGGTTATTTCAGAGATATTTCGTTACTTGTCAATCTAAAAGAAATCATTGGCGTACTTGTCTTATCATTTGAATACGAGATTTCACACAGAGAAATGAACCAATGAGAAGCAAGCATCGATGCTTCGTCAGATAAAAAAGCACTCTCGTTATCTTAAATTTTTGCCAGTTTATGCATGAATCTTTGTAACTGAGATAAAATTTAAAGCCGGAAACGTTGCTGTTTGTGAAATTTTCTGTGTTGAGAAACGCACTATATATAGTTTGCGGCATAACTTCACCGGTTTCAAGTACCAACAGTATTACTTTATTAAAACTAACTAATATATATATATATATATATATATATATATATATATATATATATATATATATATATATATATATTATATAAAATCATTTCATCGCAAGCAAACTTAGACATAAGTGCTTACTGAGTGTTAGAGATTCCGGGACAAAAGATTATTTAGGAGACAGGCCAATAAAAGACCAGAAATTAAGGAGATAGAAGATAACAATTGACATTGCCTTTAAATTTTTGAAGATCAAAGTGGTCTAGTGAACAAAAAAACAAAAACAAAAAACTGGAAAGTGTTCTACAAGCGAGGCATGCGAGTAAAGAAACTGTTAACATAGAACCTACGGTTGCATCTAGCCATTTCAAATGTAAAAATGATGAAACTTTGGTAGAAATGTTGTATTGTGTTTCTTTTTAAAAGCCGACGGTCGAGAGAGGAAAGCTCACCGGGACAATTATCATGTAACAAGGCTCAGTGAAACTACGTTGCGTCTACGGGAATGAGTTTATTGCCGTGATGCCAGGTCAGGACCGATTCTGCTTGGGTTTTTTTTTTATCAAGAATCTCTAAATGCATAGCAGAAGCACCACCCCAGATGTGACAGAAATATCCAATGTGTCGACGGATGGCATACTAATAATATTGTAAAATATATTCTGGCGAAAAATATTGTCTCGGACGACACAATGAACCAATTCACCTAGCAGCAGCTATATAATTTTATTTAAGATAATAGATATAATTTATGAATTTTTCAAACACCTTTTTCAAAAATGTGTTTCTTATTAATTACAGTGTACATGTGCTGTACATATTACTAGCAGTAGATAGCAAATGTAATCACAGACTGTTATAATTGATTTTTTTATTCATTATTTCTAATTTTAAGTAATTGGTTGATATTTTAAATAGTTGCTGCACATTTTGCACATCAACAGGTACTTCAAAAGCACGGGAGATCATTGCATCCTTCGCACTGATTGATTGTTTCGTTTTTTACGTCTTATCAACCCATTGCAGGTTATTTAAAGCCAGAAAATATTTTTAGATTTTTTTCGGGGATAATAATGATTTAGTGATGTGAATCTTACTAATTAACCCATAGCTGGGGGAGAAGAGATGGATTCATACTTTTTCCAAGGGGATTTGCGCGAAAGTGAATATAACGAACCAAATATGAATTGGAACTCGGCTCTCCGATTAACAATTTCGTGCCAGTTTGCATTACACCAAACACACATGTAAGCTTGCAGCACCTGGTATTCTCAAGCGGTCACCCATCTAAGTACTAACCAGGATCGACTTCACTTAACTTCAGTGGTGGTACAGGAATCGGTGTTTTAACGTGATTTGGATGCAACTCTTCGCACTGATATCGGTTCAGAATATACACGTTCTTTTAGAGCTTTGTTCTAGAAAAATAGAGCAATTGTTACGTAGAAAATAGAGTGCCTTGAATTTGTGAGGCATGTCATCAAATGTGAATAAGTATGCGACTCAAAATGGTGTTCTTGTCCTATTTCCGGTTACAAGTTGCATTTAAGGTCTGGAGTGAGCTTTAGATGTTAGAGGCAAGGAACCTCTTTCAGTGTATGACCGCTCATCAGGATTGGTGCAATTTAGGGAACTACAAGGAAACTGATACTGATATATTCAGTCAGTGATAGACGGCTGAAATAACAATCACAAGACATAAGGAAAGCAAAGGTTGCTGGTGGGGAGAAGCGAGTTTGTGCGAATGGCTGGGACAACAAGGACAGAGAGGAGTACTAAAGAGTCAAAATTACTTAAAGCAACAAAAACAGGAAGATGTGGAGTGTCATGATCACCTACTTAATGATTTAGTGAGAATGGCTGGGAGAACAAGGACAAAGAGGAGTACTAAAGAGTCAAAATTATTTAAAGCAACAAAAGACAGGAAGATGTGGAGAGTCATGATCACGAACTTAATGAGTTTGTGTGAATGGATGGCAGGACAAGGAGGAGTGCTAAATAGTCAAAATTACTTAGAGCAACAAATGACAGGAAGATGTGGAGAGTCATGATCACATAATGTTTGTGTGAATGGATGGCGGGACAAGGAGGAGTGCTAAATAGTCAAAATTACTTAGAGCAATAAAAGACAGGAAGATGTGGAGAGTCATGATCGCCTATTTAATGAGTTTCTGTGAATGGCTGGAAGAACAAGGACAAAGAAGAGTACTAAAGAGTCAAAATGAATCAAAACAACAAAAGACAGGAAGATGGGGAGAGTCGTGATCATTAACTTAATGAGTTTGTGTGAATGGATGGCAAAACAAAGAGGAGTCCTAAAGAGTCAAAATTACTTAGAGCAACAAAAGATAGGAAGATGTGAAGAGTCATGTTCATCTACTTAATGAGTTTGTGTGAAATTCTGGAAGAACTAGGACAAAGATGTGTACTAAAGAGTCAAAATTACTTAGATCAACAAAAGACAGGAAGATGTGGAGAGTCATGATCACCTACTTCATGACTTTTTGAAGAAAAAAATATTATCAGAATTAGACTTTTTGGAGAAAAAAATATTACCAGAAATAGACTTTTCGAGAAAAAAAATATTGCCAGAAATAAATTTTTGAAGAATAAAAACTCACAACTTATACATTTTTGAAAAAAAATATTCCCAGCAATAAAAATTTTGTCGGCATTAAATAACCCATTGAAGTGTTGATATGTCGTAAAACAAACCAAACCAATCCAAATCGAACCGAACCCGCTGCAAAAAAAGAATGACATTGAAGTAATATGCACAAAAGTAACATCTAAATAAATGGAATTAATGCGAACATGATAGATACGAAATGTGCAGTCAGATGTTACGTGTCTCTCTATTTGTTTTTGGTGAATAGATTCAGAGAAGTTTGGTAATGAGCGGAAAGTGATAAAAATTAGGCAAAAAAAAAGAAAAACGGAAAAGAAAAACGAAAATGAACAACAAAAACGTCAAATGCGAGAGAAAAATGGTTTCTTTTTTTTACAATTCCGTTCCTAACAGGAATAAGCATATAAAAACAACTTTTGTTTCTGTTGTCAAACATCCCAATTACTTCGCTTTAAAATGCGTTCTCTGGTCTATTTCGGAAACAATTTCAAATTGTTTTTCTGAGGATGTTTTTTCGCTTTTTCTTTTTTTCATTCACTTCATTCTTTGATCATCAATGTTTTTTTTTGTTTTCGTTTTTTTGAAGCTTACCTTTTTTTTCTTATTTTCTATTCACTTCCGACAGAATGTATATATCATATTCTTCTTCGGTTTATTGTTTATTTTTGTTTCATTGAACTGTGTCATGCTTTGTCTTTATTCTAACAAACGTAAATCTTTCTTTCTTTCTTTCTTTCTTTCTTTCTTTCTTTCTTTCTTTCTTTCTTTCTTTCTTATCTCACTTCCTAACTTCAGTCTTCCTTTCTTTCTCATCGATCCTTTCTGTCTTTCTTTTCATTTCACTTTCTATCTTCAATCTACCTCACTTTCTCACCGCTCATTTGTTTGTTTGTTTGTTTGTTTGTTTGTTTGTTTCTTTCTTTCTTTCTTTCTTTCTTTCTTTCTTTCCATCCTTATCTTCCTTTCTATCTTCAGTCTTCCTCTCCGGTCATTTCTTTCTTTCTTTCTTTCTTTCTTTCTTTCTTTCTTTCTTTCTTTTCATCCTTATCTCACTTCCAACCTCCCGTTATCCTTTCTTTTCTTTCCTTTCTTCCTTTCCTCTTTCATCCGTTTTATAAATCGTCAGAAACTTTTCATTTCTTCTTCATTCAATTCCCTCCCTTTATCCATCTCTTTTACATTTCTCTCACAGTTTTCTCCTTCTTTTCTTACTCTTTTCTTTCTTTCTTTTTTATCGCATTACCATTTTTCTTTCTTTTTTGTTTCTTTGTTTCTTTCCTTCTTTCTTATGGCATTATCGTTTTCTTTCTTTTTTCTTTCTTTATTATCGCATTACTATTTTCTCTCTTCCTTTTTTCTTTCTTTCTCTTTTTATCATACTCTCATTTATCTTTTTTCATTCTTTCTTGTCCTACGAGATTTACCCTTTCTTTCTTTCTTTCTTTCTTTCTTTCTTTCTTTCTTTCTTTCTTTCTTTCTTTCTTTCTTTCTTTCTTCATATTACTGCATTGTAAAGCTTTCTTTCTCTTTTCATCTCACTGTCATTCATTTTTTTCTTTCGTTTCCTTCTTTTGTTTCCTTTGTTTTCTTTCTTTTATTTTGCTTTGTTTCATGCATTCTTTCTTTTTCCTTACATTTCCGCTTGACCAAATTCCTTATCCCCAAGAAAACTCAACAAATTAATTTCCTTACTTAACTTGAAGCTCCCAGCCTTACCAGAACCTATTCTTCAGGAAGTCTCTGCTTCTCATTACAGACCTATTTACAGAAAGTAAAACAAAATCACCTTCCCCCCCCACCACCACCACCAACAATTTTGAGATAACAAAAGACCGCCAATTTGATGCTTAAGAAAATAGTAGAAAGAAAAGGCCGACTCTTTTCGACAAAGGATCGAATAGTCCTGCTCCCTTACATTTGAAATTGCCCTCTCTTAGTAAGCAGGTGGACTTTTGTTAAAATTTACTTTCACTTTAGAGTCAGATGACTTGGCGCATCTTGCATACCAAACATGGCAAATTTGTCGTTCTGAAGACACCGATAATCTTTGTGCTTCATGGCCTTTCGCAGAATCATTGTTTGGAATGTATTTTGTTTTTCTTTAACATTCATATATATTTTACGTTTTCTTTCACATTTCAATATAGTTTGCCTTTCCCTTGCAATTTAAATATATCCTGTATATTTACAGATCCTAGATAAAATACAAAAAAGAATCAGCAATATTACTGGTCTTGATACGGCAGTTCGGCATCAGTCACTTTCCCACCATCGTAAAGTTATCTCCTTGTGCCTTTTCTATAAATACTTTCATCGTAATTGTTTTGGTGAACTTTCTTCTGTGTTACTCTATGAATTTAAGCGCAGCGCTAGACTGTCGTCTAGATGTCATCAATTTACAGTTGAATTGGCTGGATGTAACCGTAAGTTCTATGCTAATAGTTTCTTCTCTCGCATTCGTTGCCTTGAATGATTACGGCCACATTTATTCTGGTGCTTCTGATATGTATTTAGAAATTGTTGATAAAATCGAAGAAGAATCAGCAATATTATTGGTCCTGATCTGGCGGCTCGGTTTCAGTCACTTTCCCACCACCGTAAAGTTATCTCCCTGTGCCTTTTCTATAAATACTAGTGAACTCTCCCCCTATGGAACCTAGACTCTATGAATTTAAGGGCAGTACTAGACTGTCATCGAGATCTCATCAATTTACAATCGAATTGACGTGATGTAACCGTAAATTCTTGCTTGTGATACTCTCTTCCGGTTCCATACTAATCAGCCAACTTTAATCTTCAAACATTTAAATGCAATGTCAATCACTATCTACTGATTACTCTTCCATTGCTCTCATGCCTCAGTAATGTTTCTGATTTTCTAAATCCACCACATCCAGTAACCCCTTGTGGCGTAGTGGCTTTACTGCCTTGTTAGGGGTGAATTCGATTGAAAAAAAATATATTTGCTTTTTCTATGCAATTTAAACATATTTTGACCTTTTTTGCCATTCAAATACATTTTGCCTTGTCTTTGACATTTAAATATATTTTAACTTTTCTTTAATATTCATATATATTTTGGAGTTTTGACATTTAAATATATTTTGATTTTCTTTAATATTTAAAAAAAAATAACTTTTCTTTGCAATTTAAATATATTTTGCATTTTATTTACCATTTAAATTTATTTTTCCTTATTCTTCGACATTTAAATATATATATTTGCTTTTTCTTAGATATTTAAACATTTTTTGCCTTTTCTTTGCAATGTAAAAATATTTTGCCTTTTATTGGCTTTATACATACAAGGTGCGAGGAGTAAATTTTCGCCATTTTATATTTTTTTAATTTTGCGCATGCGCGTTGCTTGTTTTTTTTTTTTAATATTTTGTCGGCTTTTATTATGCGTATAGTAGGGTCAGTTGAGCACCGTCTGTGAGAAAAAGAGCACCATGACATAATTCACTCCGAAGGAAATGGGAAACTGCATGATGGGTATTCGCGCCGGAGTGTATGAGTATCAATCTGAGGACACTTCATAGGGTTCGAAAAGATTTGGATGATATATCCAGTCAACATCATGGTGTTTAGGGTGATCACTAGTGATGGTGATGTTATGCCTCTATTCATCTTCCCACAGGGCCTCAGACTCAACACAGAGGCCTACATCAAGTGCCTTGAGGAGGTAGTGCTGTCCTGGATCAAGAAGGTGGCTGCTGGAAGACCCTATGTCTAGCAAAAGGTATCTGCACCATGTCATGCAAGCAGGAGAACCCAATCATGGCTGTCAGACAATTTCTATGGCCACATCACCCCTTATGTCTAGCCACCTAACTCCCTAGACTTCAAACCCCTTGATTATTATGTGTGGGGCGCAGTTGAGCGAGAGACCAACAAAAATAAGTGTAACATTAAAGATGAACTGAAGACAAGGATTATGGCAACATTCACCAACTTAAACAAGGAGACCGTCCAGAAGAGTTTCAGGAGATTCCGAAGTCGTCTAGACCCGTGGTTGAATCCAATGTCGATTTTATTGAATAAATTTACTCTTTAGTATTTTGGTAAATATATCTGTTAAAATGAGATATTAATATTATTTTCATTTTTGTTCAATTTAGACGACAATTTATCCATCGCACGCAGTATTTTGCTTTTTATTTGAAATTTACATATATTTTGCCTCTTTCACATTTATATATAATTTGCCTTTTCTTTTGCCATTTAAATATGTATTATTTCTTGCCATTTAAATATATTTTATATTATTCTTTGACATTTAAATATATTTTACCTTTTCTTTGCAATTTAAATATATTTTGCCATTTCATATGTTATTTAAGTATATTTTAACATCTCATTGACATTTAAAAATAGTTTACCTTTTTGTTTCTATTTAAATATATTTTGATTTTTTTAGTATTGTTTCAATTTTATCAGATTCAGTATAAGGATTTGTTTGAACTAAGAGGAAGGCTTAATTTATCTGAGAAGGATGTTAGAATAATCTAGGACTCAGACAGAGTGCAAACCACTTGAATACAGATAGGAACTGAATAGAGAAAGTACGCAAAACAGAAAGTGGGTTAATAAAATCGCCGGATTTATTCATACTCTACAGCGAGGCTACCCTCGTGGACCTGGAGAGCCACCAGGATATGCAGGATAGCTATTAAAGCTATTTACAATTTAAAAACATTATTACAAAAGCAAATGAACAGACAAATATGTAGAAATTGCTGCGAAATGAGGAGTAGATATTGAAGATATATTAAATAATTTAATATACCTCTATATAGTTACTATTAGTTGCCCAAAGACATCAAGACGTTACTCGATTTCTTGCCATGTTCGCTGTAGCATAGCCTCATAAATGGTGCCAATGGCATTGGTGATCTTTTGCTTTAAATCAGTGAGTTCCCGTAACACGATATCTTTGTAAACGTCATCAACTCGGTTTGTTTTCCTTGATTTAAATTCTTAAGCGTTTCGAACTTCTTTTACTGTTTTACTCAAATTAAGGAAATAACCAACACTGGCAACTGATAGCCGAAATATTTCCATAAAAAAATAAATCATTCGTTAGAAGTTTTTTCTTTCTTTTAATTATGCAACTACGAACGGAGATAAGCACCCTAACTTTAAAGAAGGAACTTCGCAAGTCAATAAACTGATAAATAACAAAATCGGAAGTATCTCCAACAAAAAAAAAAATATATATATATATATAAAAAAAACAGATTAGAATCCTTTCGGAGGCTGACCATTTTTCATAGAAAATATCTACCTAGATACATCGACTTAATAGAAGCATTTGTTGTAAAATGAGGCGTAGTTATTGAAGTTTTTTTAACTAATTTAATCCACCTCTATATGGACGTCATTATTTGCACGAAGCACATCAAGACGGCACTCAATTTCTTGCCATGTTCTCTGTAGCATAGCCTCATCAGTGGTGGCAATGACATTGGTGATCTTTTGCTTTAGATCAGTGAGTTCCCGTTATCTTTGTTTGATACACGATATCTTTAACACAACCCCATAGAAAGAAGTCCAGGAGAGTGATATCTGGTGAACGAGATGGCCAAGGAATTAGGCCATCCCTTCCAATCCACCAGTCTGGAAATGCTTTAGGAACCCATGTAGTCCCCAATGTGGTGATGCACCATCTTGCTGGAAATTGATGGTTGGTTAAAGGTCATTTAATTGTGATACTACATTAATTGCATTTGTAATATATATTGTAAATTGTAAAGAGACTTTATGGACGTCCTGTTTTATAATTGGACACAGTCTTAACAATATAAGATACGTAGCTGATGACAAATTCAGAAAGAAAACCATAGAACCTAGATAAGAAAGGAAAACAAGAAGTAAGGATTAAACATCAATTGTAATACGACATAACGTAGGTACCTCCAATCCACCTGTTTGGAAATGTTCGGGGGTTCATTTAACAGTACCCCCTTCATCAATCCAAATGCAATGTGATTAAAAATTTTGAAAACTACTGAGTACATAGAACAAATCTGATTAAGACAGATAATCCATTGCCTTTGTAGTATATTTTTTAAATTTTAAAGAGACTTTATAATATAAATATATATATATATATAATAACTGTCTATGGCTTTGTTTGTTTTTTTCACCATGCATTTAAAATTAAGCCTATTCAAACAAACACCTCTGTATGGACAATATTAGTTACCCGAAGCACATCAAAACGGTCCTCGATTTCTTGCCATGTTTGATCATCATTGGTGGCAATAGCGTCAATGATTTTTTGCTTTAGATCAGTGATGTCCCGTATCTCTGTTCGATACGCGATATCTTTAACATAACCCCACAGAAACAAGCCCGGAGGAGTGATCTCCATTCTAATCCACGGGTCTGGAAATGTTGATTTAGGAACCAAAGAACATGCAATCTCCAATTGGCTGGTGCACCATCTTTGCTGGAAAATGAAAATGATGGTTGGTTGAAGGTCATCTATTTGTGGTGCCACATCAATTGCCTTTATAATATATCTTTTTAAATTGTAAAGAGACTTTATGGGTACTGTTGAAACTTGACTTTATGCATGGAATAATAATGCAACACAAAAGGTACTTTGAACAAAATGTATTGAAACAAGAAAGTGTACACAATATTTACATATAGTCTTTTGTATATTCCTGGTAAGACCGTTCCTGGAGAATGTGTTGACTGAGTCGCAGTCGGGCAGAGTCTCTGGTTGAATCTCTTGATTCCTCCTCTCTCTTCCCGGTACCAACCATATTTATATGGTCGGTACTCCACTATGCAAATTAGGTGGATCCTACCACAACAGGTATCCTGTATATTAATAATATATTATAAATATTTAACAAGATTATTATCTGAAGAGGCTAGAGTAATTTCTTTTAACTAATTTAATCCATCTCTATATGGGCACCATTAGTTGCACAAAGCACATTAAGATGGTACACGATTTCTTGCATTATTCACTGTAGCATAGCCTTATCAATGGTGGCAATGTCATAACTGATCTTTTATTTGAGATGTCCCGTATCTTTGTTCGATACACAATATCTTTAAAGAAAGAGGTCCAGTGGGGTGATATCAGGTGAACGAGGTGGCAAGGGAATTGGACCATACCTTCTAATCTACCGGTCTGGAAATGTTTGATTTAGGAGGAACCCACAAACATGCTGTCCCCAATGTGATGCTATACCTTCTTTGCTGGAAAATAATGGTTGGTTGAAGGTCATCTAGTTGTGGTTCCACATCAATTGCCTTTATAATATATTTTTAAATTGTAAAGAGACTTTATTGACAGCCTGAATTATAAGTGGACACAATCTTAATATAAGATACATAGGTTACATTGAGTTGATGTCAAATACAGAAGGAAAACCATAAAACTTTGGTAATAAAGGAAAGCGGAAAGTAAGGACGAAACAATGATTTTAATACGGCATAATGTAAGTACCTCCACTAATGTAAGGTTTAAAATAAATTTTTAAAATGGAAAAGCTTTCTCAAAGCTTTCATTTTATCTTTAATTTAAATCTAAAGGATTTAAAATCTATTGTTTCAAGTCAATATAATAACCTTTGATGTATTTCAAGCAGAAATTATATTGAAAAAAATTAAATTAAATTTTTTCTTATTTGAAACAAAATATTACTTATAGCATAAAATGTTGTATACAAGCATTTCTTAAATACGGGGTCTTGTTTTCTGACGTGTTAATCGATTTATTGACAACCAAATGGCAGCCGAATGTGTTCATAGTTAAGTATGGTGGAGCAGACGATAACATTTATATGAGTGTTTTTCCCCGTGATGAGAGGACAGCCCTTAAAACACGTGACGTTTTAATGAGAGATTTATCAGTTTGAACATCCATACTTAGAAATTCTGCACGTATATCAAACATACAAAAACGAATCGAAATTCTTTTAAAAATATTCTGGGTCATCATATTGTAATAAGCTTTACAATATATAATTGATAAATATAGTTTTACTTGATAACAATATTTTCTAAGAATTATCACATTAAAAATGAATTTTAAAAGATTTAAAAACTTTATAAGTTATTCAATTTAAAATTGTAAGAAATGAAAACAAATCTGGTAAAAATCCATTTTTCATCGAAAAAAAATTTTTTTTCAGACAATATTGTATTTAATATATATTATTCATAAAAGCAATTAAAGGATTCTCTAATTAAATAATGTCTTAGTTTTATTGCGTTTTTTATTTTTCTATTCAGAATAGATTTTCTGTTAGATGGGGATCGATTATGCAAAAAAAAAAAAAAAAAAAATTCGGTAATTTAAATTCATCAAACTATTCTGCTTTTAACTAATATATTCGCTAAGAAATATCACGTTGAATTTCTCAAGTTTTTATAAAATTAAGTTAGGGGGAGAATAAAAAAATATTTTTACCAAGATTTTCTAATAAAAAATCCAATATCCTGAAAATTACATTAAAATTCGACCATTATTTCATTTTTGCAAGAATTTCCAAATTAATGTGTTTGTCACCGCCCCCCCCCCAAAAAAAAGTAAAAAAAGAGTCTAAAATTTGCTATGCTAAAAGTTAGTAAAACCCCTGACGCGGGAAAAACATTTTTTTAATCAAAATTTCGAATGAAATTTAATTAATTAGATGATTAAAATATATTTTGTTCCTTCCTGTCAATAATAACATAAAGATTTTGATGATAAAACTCTTTTCATTACTTTTGGAGTATGTTTTCATTACGGTATGTTGATTTTTTAGCGATTTCGTTGAGGTATTTAGCATGATGTATATTTGTCAGCATGTGACAAAGCTCAATATGCAAACTATGAAATAAAGAAGTCAAAATAAAGTACAAAAGTGTAAATATATGAGAAGTATTTTTCCAGATGACAGAAAAATATGACATCGAAATCCGAAGTTTCACTGGAACTCCAAAAGATGCCCTTGCAAAAAAAAAAAAAAAATAAAATAAAATAATAAAATAAAAATAAAATATTAAGAAGTTTTTATGGTACAAAATTTAACGATAGCTAGGAAAAAGTAAAATTTATATGACATTTTTATAAAAGATAAAAAAGAACAACCGGTTTCGTCCCAGGACTTATCAAGTTTAATTTTCTGGGATATAAAAATATATATAAGTGTTTAAATTAAATTAATATAACGAATGGAAGGGGAAAAATGAGTTTCAAGAAAACTAGAGTCTAATAACATTCAGACCCAGTAAGCATTCGTTCTGTTTACAAATGGGAAGACCCATGGGATCTGATATACAAGGACTCTAGAACCTTGAGGTGATATGAGGAGTGGGACCGAGATAAAATCGAAAAACGGTCCGCACTAAAATCAAACACACAATTGCTGTTATTTATTACATGCTCTTCAATAGCATAGCCAGAAGTATTGGTTAGTTGGCTTTTCCTGGCATCCGGATTCAAAATCCTAGGGGAGGAGTAAGTGTTGTTTTATTCTCAGATCCAAACCTTGGGACGTCCTCCCTATGTAGTCGAGTTCACAACTATACTTATATTTATAAATCACTGAAATGACATGATGGGAGGGGGACGTCCTTACGAATGGAAGAGAAAACAGGACGAGTAACAAATATTACCCGAACATTAGCCGAAAAATAATCGCTATTACCTACACGCGAAATTCCTCTAGATAAAGTCTCACCCTCTGTCCCAATATAGATCACAGATGAAGTAAAGACTTAAGGCCACCGATAAGTGTTCTACAGAAGGATGCTAAGAATATCATGGACGGAGCATCTGAGTAACAAGAAAGTTTTAAGTGAAATGGAAAACAAAAAACAAAATAATTATAAAACAAAAAGAGACAGTTGAAACTTCTGGGAGAAATAATGACAAACGGAGGCCTGGGAAAAGAAAATATAGGACGTTGTGGATGGCCATAATCGCTCCTGTTTTATGCTCTGGCTTTCTGCAAGTGTTTGGAATATCGAACTTAACCCTTTATTTCACTCACTGGGGTAGACTGTTCTAGTTTCACGTGCCATGTTTCATGGATGTCAGTTATCTCCTGTTAATTCCCCTCCCCAAATTCTCTACTGGGAAAAGGGATACTGCCTTAGCAGGTATTGAACTCACACTCTTTGGGTCCTGTCACTGGATCTAACTAACGCCTTTATCCACTATGCCATGTGTCCTTGAGGACATCGGTGTATGAATTTCTGGGTATTATATGTCTTCAGTAACCATTTTTATCATTTCATGTTTTTACCAGAGCTCATATTGCTATTTTTGTTGTTATCATTGCTTTTCTCTGGCACTCCTTATTACTGGTTCCCATATTGTATTTATTTCTACGCTTGGTCGGCTCAGGAGATTTTTGTGGCCTAGCATATGTGCTGATTCCTTAAGTTTACGAATTTTCCAATGGTGTTCCTTGTCTATGATCTCAACCTGATCCCACGGAGGGCGGTGATCTCCCTTTTCTCTCCATATGTGGTCCGCCAAGCCTGATTCTCCCACTTCCCCTCGTGTTACAGCTTTCTGGTGTTCTTGAAGCCTTACCTTAAAGGGGCTGCCTATCTCCCCTTCACATTTCTTTCCGCAGCTGCACGGGATATGGCTTTCTCAGAAAATATAATTCTTGATATATGGTCAGCATAAAATTTATATTTTGGTGAAACACTGTAATAGAAACATTTGTCAAGTTATTTTATAGGATCATAATTATGGATTGATTCGTTTTTTTACGGCTTATCAACCCTTTGCAAGTTATTTAAAGCTAGAAAATATTTTTAGATTGTTTTATTTTTAGATTAGTCTTTTAGATTTTCGATTTCATATTTTCGATTTTTAGATAGATTTATGAATGGAGTTATAATGTCGAAAATATTTTTAGATTGTTTTAGATTTTAACAATTTTTAGAGATAATAACGATTTAGTGATACAAGTATTACTAATTAACCCATAGCTGGGGAGAGAATCGGTGGATTCATACCTTTCCCAAGGCTTTTTGCGCGTAAGTGAATATAACGACCCCCCCCAAAAAAAAAGTTCGTGCCATTATCCATTATACCACCTGTACACCTAAGCTTACAGCACCTGGTATTCCCAAGCGGTCACCCATCTAGATATTGACCAGGCTCAATGTTGCTTAATTTCGATGATTGTACGGGAACCGATTTTTGAACGCTATCCATTTACACAAGTTTGGTTACTCACCGTTCCCTCCCGCCCTTTTCGCTGTCAGTACGTCTTGAGAGTGTTATATTCTCCAAGCTCTCCTTCTTGATTATGTGTCTTCAAAAATTAACTCTTTCTTTCTGAGTATAAGTAACTTTTTGTTTATTTATATATTCCTCGCTATTTTTTCATTAATCACAGATTCAGTACATGGCACTCTCAGTATCCTTCTGTAGAACCATATATCTGTTACCTCAAGTCTCTTCCACATCTGTGTAAAGGTTACCCACCAAGAGCCAATATAACATAAGAGGTCAGCACTTTTTAAATTCGTTTTAATGATTTTTTTCCGCTTCCCTGCTTACATTTTGGAAGGGACATCTCAATTCGACTTCAGATTTCGGTGTCACATTTATTTTTGCCTACCAGAAATTCGGATAGGCGTTGTATTGAGCAGCTTTTATTCCTTCCGAATTTCTGAGACACCATTATCTTCTTTTCAGAAAAAAAAATCAGCTAATAATTTTAACTATAGCGTTTCTCAGAAATTCGGAAGGAAATATTCACCGTGAATTCAGCGACAGAAACGTTTTGATAAAAGAATACCAGTCAATTATTTTATCTATAGCGTTTCTCAGAAATTCGGAAGGAAATATTCACCGTGAATTCAGCGACGGAAACGTTTTGATAAAAGAATACCAGTCAATTATTTTAACTATAGCGTTTCTCAGAAATTCGGAAGGAAATATTCACAGTGAATTCAGGGACGGAAACGTTTTGATGAAAGAATACCAGTCAATTATTTTAACTATAGCGTTTCTCAGAAATTCGGAATGAAATATTCACCGTGAATTCAGCGACGGAAACGTTTTGATAAAAGAATACCAGTCAATTATTTTAACTATAGCGTTTCTCAGAAATTCGGAAGGAAATATTCACCGTGAATTCAGCGACGGAAACGTTTTGATAAAAGAATACCAGTCAATTATTTTAACTATAGCGTTTCTCAGAAATTCGGAAGGAAATATTCACCGTGAATTCGGCGACGGAAACGTTTTGATAAAAGAATACCAGTCAATTATTTTAACTATAGCGTTTCTCAGAAATTCGGAAGGAAATATTCACCGTGAATTCAGCGACGGAAACGTTTTGATAAAAGAATACCAGTCAATTATTTTAACTATAGCGTTTCTAAGAAATTCGGAAGGAAATATTTACCGTGAATTCAGCGACGGAAACGTTTTGATAAAAGAATACCAGTCAATTATTTTATCTATAGCGTTTCTCAGAAATTCGGAAGGAAATATTCACCGTGAATTCAGCGACGGAAACGTTTTGATAAAAGAATACCAGTCAATTATTTTATCTATAGCGTTTCTCAGAAATTCGGAAGGAAATATTCACCGTGAATTCAGCGACGGAAACGTTTTGATAAAAGAATACCAGTCAATTATTTTAACTATAGCGTTTCTCAGAAATTCGAAGGAAATATTCACCGTGAATTCAGCGACGGAAACGTTTTGATAAAAGAATACCAGTCAATTATTTTAACTATAGCGTTTCTCAGAAATTCGGAAGGAAATATTCACCGTGAATTCAGCGACGGAAACGTTTTGATAAAAGAATACCAGTCAATTATTTTAACTATAGCGTTTCTCAGAAATTCGGAAGGAAATATTCACCGTGAATTCAGCGACGGAAACGTTTTGATAAAAGAATACCAGTCAATTATTTTAACTATAGCGTTTCTCAGAAATTCGAAGGAAATATTCACCGTGAATTCAGCGACGGAAACGTTTTGATAAAAGAATACCAGTCAATTATTTTAACTATAGCGTTTCTCAGAAATTCGGAAGGAAATATTCACCGTGAATTCAGCGACGGAAACGTTTTGATAAAAGAATACCAGTCAATTATTTTAACTATAGCGTTTCTCAGAAATTCGGAAGGAAATATTCACCGTGAATTCAGCGACGGAAACGTTTTGATAAAAGAATACCAGTCAATTATTTTAACTATAGCGTTTCTCAGAAATTCGGAAGGAAATATTCACCGTGAATTCAGCGACGGAGACGTTTTGATAAAAGAATACCAGTCAATTATTTTAACTGTAGCGTTTCTCAGAAATTCGAAGGAAATATTCACCGTGAATTCAGCGACGGAAACGTTTTGATAAAAGAATACCAGTCAATTATTTTAACTATAGCGTTTCTCAGAAATTCGGAAGGAAATATTCACCGTGAATTCAGCGACGGAAACGTTTTGATAAAAAGAATACCAGTCAATTATTTTATCTATAGCGTTTCTCAGAAATTCGGAAGGAAATATTCACCGTGAATTCAGCGACGGAAACGTTTTGATAAAAGAATACCAGTCAATTATTTTAACTATAGCGTTTCTCAGAAATTCGGAAGGAAATATTCACCGTGAATTCAGCGACGGAAACGTTTTGATAAAAGAATACCAGTCAATTATTTTAACTATAGCGTTTCTCAGAAATTCGGAAGGAAATATTCACCGTGAATTCAGCGACGGAAACGTTTTGATAAAAGAATACCAGTCAATTATTTTAACTATAGCGTTTCTCAGAAATTCGGAAGGAAATATTCACCGTGAATTCAGCGACGGAGACGTTTTGATAAAAGAATACCAATCAATTATTTTAACTATAGCGTTTCTCAGAAATTCGGAAGGAAATATTCACCGTGAATTCAGCGACGGAAACGTTTTGATAAAAGAATACCAGTCAATTATTTTAACTATAGCGTTTCTCAGAAATTCGGAATTTTTTTTCTTCTCCCAAACCCTGTTCAACCACCTATTTGCTCAAGGTCAAGTATGTTACGTGCTGCTTTCTTCTGTTCCTCTTTTCTTTCAATCTGTCTTGTGAGTATCATATTTTCTAAGCCTTCTTTCCACATTACGTGCCCCAGAAATTTCAACTGCCTATTCCTAAAACCTGAAACATTTTGATGCAGACAACAAGTCTGGGGGAAAATGGTGCAAAAAAAAAAAAAAAAATCGTCTGCTGCATCTCGGAAATTCCGACAAAAAATATTCAATCTTTTTATCTATTTTTCTTCCTTTTTTCTTGATTCTTTCATAAATTCCAATTCTGTTTACATTAGATCACGTAGAGGTCCCAAGGAAAACATCTTTAAAAACCAAAAAGCGGAATAAATAAACTTCATGTAAGTTTGCTTTTTCCTTAACATCTTATAATATTTCTTTGTGCGGCTTAAGTCACGGCTGCCTTGAAGATATTGCCGGGCGTTTTGTTTCCATAATTGTTTTGTTTATTTTTCGTTTTTGCAAGCAAAGAAAATATCAACAGCGTAGATTCGTATTTTGGGATTGACATGCTTTAAGTCTTGCCCGCGTACGCCAACAGACAGACAGGCATTAACTTATGGATAGACATAGGCACTTCAACTGGAAGATACAAAAATGGAATGAACTCTATTCATTTTTTTTTTTTCGCGAAATACGCTGCGGTAAAAATAAAGTGGATTCTTTGATTTGCTATATACACCGTCTCCCGACCTTTAAAAATACCTACTCACCTATTCACTTCCTATCTATCTATCTATCTATCTATCTATCTATCTATCTATCTATCTATCTATCTATCTATCTATCTTTCTTTCTTTCTTTTTATTTTGGCCCGTTCATATCTATCTATCTATCTATCTATCTATCTATCTATCTTATTCTATTCCCACCTCTCACTCGATTTCTATCAGTTCGTTCATATCTCTCTCACTCACTCTCTCTCTCTCTCTCTCTCTCTCTATCTATCTATCTATCTATCTATCTATCTATCTATCAATCTCAGTCTGTTCATTACCTCCCTCTCTCTCAGTTCGTTCATTTCTATCTCTGCATCTAGGTTCGCTCATCTATCTATCTATCTATCTATCTATCTATCTATCTATCTATCTATCTATCTATCTATCTATCTATCTATCTCAATTTGTTCATATCCCATCCATCTATCTATCTATCTATCTATCTATCTTATTCTATTCATTCTCTTTCTCTCCTCTCAGTTCATTCTCTCCCTTCTAGGTTCTTAACTCTCTATCTATCTATCTCTCTATCTATCTATCTATCTATCTATCTTATTCTATTCACCCCCTCTCATTCCGTTCATCTCCTCCTCTCTCTCAGTTCGTCTATCTATCTATCTATCTATCATCTCAGGTTCATTACCTCCCTCATTCGTTTATATCTATCTCCATCTATTCTCATCTATCTATCTATCTATCTATCTATCTATCTATCTATCTATCTATCTTATTCTATTCACCTCTCTCTCTCTCTTTCTCTCAGTCCATTCATATTTATCTCTCCTTCTAGGTTCGTTAACCTATCTATCTATCTATCTATCTATCTATCTATCTATCTATCTATCTATCTATCTATCTATCTAGTGCTATCTTCCTGTCAGTCTGTCCATATCGATTTTCCTGTTTATTCATCTATCTTATGGAGAATATGATATATATAGTTTGTTTTTTTTCATATATCAGAAATTTGTTTAACTGATATGGTGCTCAAGTAAACATTCTTACAATTTCGCTGGATGGTTCTTCAACTAATCGTCATATTGATCAAATATTGCATTTTCGGAATAAAATTCATTCTAGTCCTTACAGAATTTTTTAATGAAAAAAACAAAAAACAAAAAAAAAATTGATCTATCCAGTGGAAGACTGCAAAAGGCGTCTACAGCTGATCTCTGCCGAGAAAGGAAGATTTAAAAAATTCTGGGAGGTTGCATTATGAAGTTGTATGAAAATAGTCAAACAATACGCGTAAATACGTTTACCATACCTATTGTCTTCATCTTTGTCGCCATATTTATTACAACGTTTCGGTCTCTGGCCTTCTTCAGGTGGTTGGAATGTCGGACTGAACCCTTTATTTCTCTCACTGGGGTAGACCGTTCTCGTTCCACGTGCCATATTTAATGGGTGTCAGTTGTCAGTTATCTCCTGTTAATT